ATACTAAGTCGTAAAGATTATCACATAAATTTCCAAGAAAAAAATATCAATACACACCAAATTGTCTATCAATTAAAATTTGAGTTAAACTGAAAATATTTCCTACATCTGTTTGTATTGCTTCAAAGTAAAAGTAAAATTTATGTATCCATAAGAAAAGAAATTTTATTGTTTGTTCAAAGTATAAAAACATAAATTTTAAAGTAGATAACAAATTATGAAACAACAAATGACGATAAAAATATGGATATCAAGAAAACATTACAAATTTGTAAACACAGCACATTAAAAGAGAAATTAAAATACAAGTAAAATTTTAAAGTTCAATTTACATCACAATGACAGAAACACACCAATTAAACATTTCTTCTGCATTTTAGTATACAAAGTCTGATCAGCATCATTTGGATGGTTGTTTAGTTTTTATGATTGGTTTTAAACAATGTTACATTTGAGCTAGACATGTGCAATTTTTTCCATTAGTCAACTTTTTTTTCATATCTTAAATGTTCATCATAATACAGTATGTACATTTTGTATATCATCTATCAATAGCTATTTATTCGTCCATGAAACTTTATACAGTATGCAAATATAAGCTTAAACACTACAAAAGTACTAACATAAAACTCAATTGGCTAATAATTTTTTTAATTTTTTGCACAACAATTTTTTTATCTGCATAGAATTTGTGCCTTGTATATGTACATCAGGGCCCGATTTAACTTTTTTTTGGTAACTAGCCCAGTGGGCTACTTGGGTAGAGATTTTACTAGCCCACAGAATATTTTACTAGCCCACAAACTGGAAACAATTTTATTTCACAATATTTTTAGCGACAATTAAAGTTGAAAACTGATTAGCAATATCATAATTTGTATAGCAATCTTTGATGGATGTTAATAATGTTCAATTACAAAAACAAGTACAGAAAAGGACTCAAAAGACATGAATTGATCATACGAAATATGTTGATTTCTTATGTACTAAAAAATCACTGTGCTGTAAAAATCGAAACTGTTTATAACAGGGAGATGTAAGTCAGTATTACTATATTCACCAATGCAGCTGTTAGGTCTTAAGTCACCCTAGAAATCTAGGCTAGCCTACTACTACATAGGCCTAGATGATGAGACTTGCTAATACGGTAGGGCCTACATTAGGCTAGCCTACCTGCATAGCATTGAAAAATCACCAGTATTTAATTATTGAATATAAAATTGTAACATTTTAAAATTACCATGATGAGAAAATAATATGAATGTAAGGTAGTAGTATAAATGCTAGAATGAACAGATGATGTTATGTTAGAGATAACCATATCTGTGTTTAGTGAATGACTTGAGGATCATCTTAACATTTCAACACTCACCGCACGGCAAGAGTTCAGAGCTATAGTGTACTGTCTGGGCTGCGATACCTCATGCAGGGATCGTGATAGTTTGGACAGGGCTTTTATCTCAAATTGTAGTGAGGACTGTGTTTTTATCAAAACAATATTATGCACATGCGTATACAGTATATATTCAATTTAAATTTTTATTTATACAAGCACATTTTTCAACTTTTTTATTTATCATTTTACCTTTAGATTATTATAGCAGTTAATTATGCCTGTCAAGACATTGTCTTAAAATGTAATTTTGAACCAGTTTTGCTGATTTTAGTTCTGACACTGGTAAATATGAATTGTTTTTTCTAAATTACATGTCAATCTAATTAATGTTATCCATGGAAGTTCAAGGAGTAAAAGCATAAAGTGTAAGACTTTCATGTACATTTTTATCTGCTTGAAAATCATGAGTATCATTTTTATCTGCTAGAAAAGTATCAGAGATTTCACAATAAAGTTGGGCATCACCATCATTGAAGCTTGAACTTGATGCAAGGTCACTTATAGATCTCGACAGGGGAAGGGTTGGTAGAGATCTTTTAAGGATACTGTCATTCCCACATCCATTGTCAGGGGGTTTGTTAGAAGGTTTATCAAAGGGGTTGTTGTAGGCAAAATTGTCCACCCTTGACTCCCTTAGATCTTGTTTCAACATGTTCTTCAACCATGACATGGACACTTTAGAGGCAAGAGTTCTTGGTGGTCTTGCGTGCATTGTTTTTGAGCCATTAGAAATGTGTGTGTTGGTCTTAGACATGATGTGGTCTATGGTGTTGTATCTTGGATCTCCATCAGAACAATCTTGTAAGTTTTCACTGGCAACCATCTGGACTTTGAAGGCATATTGAGACTTTGGGATATTCACTTGATAAGTTACATCCTGGTATTCAGCTTCTTTGCTTCCGTCAATATGTTGCTCTTTGATTTGATTGTAGAATGCTTCTTCTTCTTTTTCTTTTCCATTCTGCTCAATACCTGCTACAATAGAAGTGGTCATTTTCAAACTACTACTATCTACAGCTGAGCATTCTCGCTGTTGGCTTAGAAACTTGTGTGTTTCATCATGGGTTTCACCAACACTTCTTGTAGCACAATCTTTAAATGAAGAAACATTAGTTTTTATAATACTAGTTCCATCTTGGTAGCAATTATTACTGTAAAAATGTGCTTGGGCATGTGTGAACCAGATTTTGCATGTGCCTTTGTAACAG